AAATAAACTTCAATCCATACTTTATTCAAAGTTATCAAAAACTGGAAACAACCCAAATGTCCATCAACATGAGAGCAGATCAACAACAACAACAACAACAACAACAACAACAAAAAAAAAATATATATATATATATATCTCCACAAACTACTACTTACTCAGCAGTAAAAAGGAACAAACTAAAAAAATATGCAACTGGCCAGGCACAATGGCTCACACCTGTAATCCTAGCACTCCAGGAGGCCGAGGTGGGTGGATCGTTTGAGCTCAGGAGTTCGAGACCAGCCTGAGCAAGAGCAAGACCCCGTCTCTACTGAAAATAGAAATAAATTCGCTGGACAACTAAAAATATATATATAAAAATTAGCTGGCACAGTGGTGCATGCCTATAGTCCCAGCTACTCAGGAGGCTGAGGCAGGAGGATCACTTCAGCCCAGGAGTTTGAGGTTGCTGTGATCCGTGCCTGTTATTTTTTTTTCAAAGTAGTTCCTGCTCCACACGCTGTGCTCACATTAAATGCGAATGAAATAACCCCCTGAGTATAAGTACTTATCATTTTATTTCAGTGGTTGTTTTTATTGTGGTGATAAAACTAATATAGCCCAGTTATAGCACCCTTTATAATATTACTATGTCCCATAATTTGTCAAAGTTCTTAACTGGTGCATTTATGAAAACATATTTCCATTGCACTTGCAAAAGGCAGTAGTAAAATCTAGTAATTTGGTGTAATCTGTTTTATGTGCTCTTAAAAATCCAAATTCTAGGCCAGGTGAAGTGGCTCATGCCTGTAATCCCGACACTCTGGGAGGCCAAGGCGGGAGGATCGCTTGAGGCCAGATGTTTGAGACCAGCCTGAGCAAGAGCGAGACCCCATCTCTACAAAACATAGAAAAATTAGCCCGACGTCATGGCACAAGCCTGTTGTCATAGCTACTTGGGAGGCCGAGGCAGGAGTTCAAGGTTGCAGTGAGCTATGATGACACCACTGCCCTCCAGCCTGGGTGACCAAGCCAGATCCTATCTCTCCCCCCCCCCAAAATAAAGAAAAAAAAATCTAAATTCTAGAAAATTGTTTTCAGATAAATCTATTTTATTCAGCAGATGTGTTCTGGGTCACAATTGTATGAAGTGAATTTGAGTGAAGTTAGTCCCACAGTGTGAATAACTACCATGTAAGTTCTTCACAGGTGGACACGTTGTATTCTATTAAGCACAGCACCTGCACTATCTCGTGCAACCCTCGAGGCAACTTCTGACCTGTACAATAAAGAATTCACGTAACGTGCAGAGATTACAACGTAGCTGGGTGTGAAGCTGGTGGCTGCCATGTGGCACCTGGAATTTATCAGCCTTTGCACTTGACCACCAGTACCCTGAGCCAGGTGAGCCAGCGGTTCGGGGCCTGCAGCATCTGCACCCCGGGGACTCGGTATGAATGCACACGCTCGGGCCCCCTGCCCCGCAGACTTGCCGAGTGAGGAACTGCGGGTGGGGCCCAGCCTCTGTGATGTAACAGGCTCTCCCGGTGACTCTGGTGCAGCTCGAGTTGAGAACCGTTGCTCTAAGGGAACAACCGAGCTGTGTGAAGGAAACCGCTGCAAAGCCCGTACAAAGAACGGCCCGTGGAGTTGGCGGGCAGGTGCTCATGCCATGTTTGCTCAAAGGCCGGGCACCCATGTGAAGATGATTCCATGACTCCATAATTACACACACACACACACACACGCATGTACACCATTAATATTAGTTAAAATAGGGACAATTGATACAATTTGAACATACAGCATGGATTAGGGAAATTATAACAAATTATATCAATGTGAAATTTCTTAATTTAATTGTGCTGTGGTTATGTGAGAGAATATCCCTGTTTTTGCAAAATATGCAATGAAATACTTAGGCATATCTTACACTCAAATGGTTGTGAAAAAACATATATATATATATATATATATATATATATACACACTATATATAGGTATACCCTCTATAGATACTATTCTCTCTCTCCCTCCCTCTGTCCCTCTCTCTCTCTAAGAGAGAACGACACAGCAAGTGAGGTAAGATGCAAGCTGTTGCTAAGCCTAGAGGAGCGTATACGAGTTTCTTTTACTATTCTCCCAACTTTCCTGTAAGTTTGAAATGACAAAAAAATAAATTATAGGACATCAAAAACACTGAAAGAAATGTAAGGAAGTGTCCGAGGGCTAATGGCGTGGTGTCCAAAGACGAGCGCAAAGATGCCACCAGCCGCGCAGGATACAGCAGAGTGACTGCAGCGGATGGAAACACACTGGCTCAGAGAAGATCCCGAGGCCCCCGCACGCCTCCTCTTAGAAAAAGAGGTTCGGCAAAACATAATTTGTCGCAGTTTGAAGCACCTATTAAACTAACACCTCCTTTATAAAATTGGTGATTAAGCCTTTACTCTGTCTCTCTAGGAGGAAATGTATTTCATGGGAGCCAAATAAATCCAGGCTGATAAATGCAGAAGGGTCAGTAGAGCTAGAAAAAGCCCATTTCTCAAGCCGTAGCTGCAGCGGGCTGCACGGTGGCCCCGTGACAGCGGGCCCCACTGGCTGCAGGGTCAGCGCTGACAGTGGGCCGGCCAGAGAGACTGTTTCTTCCGCTGTAATGGAATAGGGAGTGTGTGACACCACAATGTGAATTCTAGCTAAGAACATCACCATGAACCCCGCAAACTGCTAGCTGTAACTTCTGTGGCGACAAGAAATACGCAGGACCTAGAAGGACAAGCCACAAGGGCACAGAAGAATCCAGAAGGTGAGGCAGTCTGCCGGCGGCTGGCCCAGGCTCCTCACAGCCAGTGACGTAAGAGGACTTCGTGGAATAAAGGACAGAGAGGGTGAAGGGGCTTCCACAAAGCTGCCCAGTCTCAAGTTTCAGAGCCTGCACTGGCACAGGCCCCTCGCAAGGCCCTGACATGGTGCGCACTCAGTCCTGCGTTCTGTTTTGCAGAAGTGAAGCATGTTAACTGTAATCACGCCTCTGCCACTTTCCCCTCTGATTTCCATTGGACACATGTCCCCTCGTGTTGAATGGCATTAACGTGGCCACAGGCATTTTTAGAATCTGTTTCAGGGCTCAAGGGATCCTCCCGCCACAGCCTGTGGAGTAGCTGGGCCCAGCCTATGTGCTTTTTCTTAAAGAGGCCTGGATGTTGTTTTCATAATGTACTGTTCTTGAGGAGGCCCCACGTTTAGGGACATAACCCCCAGATGCAATGCGTGACCTTGACCAGCTCCACAGAGCATTGTGGGGTGAACTGAAGACGCTTGCCCTCTGAGTAACTCAGGGGAGGGCAGGAAGGGCAAAGCAGAGCTGTGCAAGATGGCAGGTCAGGGCTCCCTGGGAGGTCTGGGAGCCCACCGGCCAGCCTGGTGTCAAGGATGGGAAGGAGAGGCCCTGCCTGAGACAGCACTCACGACGCGAGAACCTGCTCTGGGTGTCAGCCCCCAGCGCACCAAGGAGCCAGAGAGGATACACAGTAGGATAAAGCCTCACCTGTAGACAGCCCTTCCTCAGCCACCTGCAGGGACGCCCATCGGGGAGGGGAGGGGGGAGGGGGAATACCCCAGCTGGGGCAGCTGGCGGCTTCCCACTGGAGCCTACAGGGTATTAATATTTATCACGTTGTGTTTTGTGAGAGTTCTACACAGCAATCCTTATTTTATAGGCCTTTCCTAGCTCTCTTGAGGGAAATTTGAGAACAAAACTTTAGTACACAAACACTCTCAAGCTCAGCTGGAAGCCGGCTCCCATCAGCCACCCTCTGCAAGTCCAGCGGTCCTCAGCCCGGGAGAAAACACCGCTACACACCATGGGGACCGGCCCAGTGACCTCGAGTTTAAAGGACTCGAAGCAGAGGCTATTTCAGAAGCAATAAAGAGATCTATTTGCAACTGTAAACCAGCTTAAACTACTAGGGGAGAAAGACTGGCGTGTGTGATGAGGACTGTGAACTGTCCAGCTCACCGCAGCGCGTGCATGGAGCCACCTCCTGCTCTTTCGGCCTCAGCTCACTCTGGTGCATCCGACTGTCTAGCATCGTCTTCATCAAAATTCACATTTCCTGAGGATGCAAGGACACGTGAATAGATTTCTTTTTTTTTATTTTTTGTTGCATATTTTCCCAGTGAACATATTTCATATTTGCTTGGTGCTATTCGGTAATCCTTTGTTCACTAACATCTTTTGCAATAGAAATTATTATAGCTATGAAGCATTCACCAGGCAAAATGGAATGTTAAATTTTACCTTATACAGATTTTTACAGTCTTCCTTTTGGTACTAGTAATAAAATAAGCAAAACACTTAGCAAAGTAAACTAGTACACTAAAGTATACTAAAGCAAAGTAAATGCTAAGACAAGAATATCCAGGTAAGGTTGGTAATTATCTTACGGCTGTATACACGGTCCCAAACAGCCAGCTTTCTGGATGGAGCATGTGTTAATAATTATTTGGCCCTTATAGTAATTAAAAGAACAACAGAAATTTACCACATTCTTACAAGATGTTATATTTAAATGTTTCATAAAATTTAGAAACACTTTTTAAGTAAACTCTGTAATTCTCACAGCTGGCAATGTTAAAAAGGAAATGAATCTCAGGGTAAATCTCTGACGTACGTGAGATTCATGATAAATAGATCTTAAGTTTTTATCATTTTGATAAATCACTTTAACCTGCTAAGCCCAATTTTTAAAAAAAATTGAGTCCATTTCCCACTTAAGGCACTGCTGACACCTTGGACTGGACAGTACTCTGTTGGGGGGGCTGTCCTGTGCGTGGCAGGGTGGTCACCATCGTCCCTGGCCTCCACCCAGGAAGGTGGCAGTAGCACCTCCCTCACCAGCCTCGCCAAGTCCCCAGACACTGCCAAAAGTGCCCTGGGGGCCAAAACCGCTGAGTAAGGTGATGCTCTTCTGTCCACCGCTGTTTCTCACATCTGCAGTCTCAGGTGCCAGCTGGTACCGGACATCAACGACTCGGCCCAGTCCCTCCTGGCGGGGTGCTCGGGACTGTCCCTCCTCACGCCTGCACCCTCCCTTCTCCTCCCACTGCAGTCTCTGGTGGGTGAGGTCATCTGAATGGCCCTTGCCTCTGGCCTGGCCCGGCCCGGGCACCATCCTCTGCTGGCCTCAGAGGAGCTCGAAGGCAAGCCTGGCGCAGACCCCCAGAGGCCCCTCAGCACCCCGCACACGCCACCGCGCTCAGGAGCAAATGCAGACGCCGCCCCGTGCTGCCAAGAGAGAGCCCGGGGGAAGGGGCTGACCCCACCCACCCGCTCCCCGTCAGACTCTGCTCTCCGCCTGCAATCTCCCTCATGGTGTCACCCACTCCTTGTCACCTCTCACCCCTCGACTCCCCTGGAGGGTCCCCCTCCTGCCCAGGCGAGTCGTCACCTCTCCTGCCTACGTCATAGCGTGTCCCTGTCACTCCACAGTGAAACCGCTGATTCCTCTGTTCCAGCTTCCTGTCCGGCTCCAGAGGATGGAGCCCACCCTCAATTCCACACCTGCCGGCCACACCCAGCGTCTACACCCGGTGGTGCTGCATGACTGCCGAGGACCCAGGCACAGAGCAACGCTGAGTGCCGTGTGCACATTAGCCTTTGTCCTTGCAGAATCCCGTGGGCGTCCTACCTGCAAGGGGTCCCTGCCATCCCCCTCACGCAAATGAGAGCAGCACAGAGGATGCGTGTCACACGGCTGCCAGCTCTCAGAGCCAGGGCTCCACCCGGCCCCACGCTGGGCCACAGCATTCCGAGTACAGCATTTCGGCATGTAGGGTGATCATTGCTAACAAGTCTAACTACCTGTGTTTGAGGCATCTACATAGAAAACTGTTTTACATGATTTAATTATTTCAGATATTGATTTTGAATGAATGGGAAATGTTTTCGCTCTCAATTTACAACAAAGACAAGCTGAGTTGAATGGGGCCCCAGACCCGGCGATGGCAGGCAGGAGCCAGGCAAGGAGCAGGTGGCACCCCACGCCCAGCTGCTCCCAGACCGCCCTGTCCCTCTCGCCCAAGACACCCGCTTCAAATAGGGTGGAGAAACTGGGTCAAGAGAAGAGACTCCTCTCTGAGCTTTCCGGCAGTGCTCACAAGCTCTTGGGGAAAGATTGTCAAAGATTCTGGGAACCTGAAGCCTCAGTCAGACTTGAGACTGAATCCCTGCCCTGCGACCCGGCAGAGGGGGAAGCTTCTAGATGAATCTTATATCCAAACCCACTTAAAAAGCACAAGTTCCCAACACCATTAGCCCTTAACCACACTCCTGCGCCTCAGCCACGGCAAAGCTACGTAACACAGCAGAGCTGCGTTCTTCGTTTCTGGCGGGGCCCGGGGCTGGCCCTCCCGAAACGGCAAGCGTGAGAACCCCACGCCCAGCTGCTCCCCACCGTGCCCCGGCTCTCAGGAGTGCCCAGGAGGGGACCACGTTCCACCAGGGCTCCCACAGGAGCTCACAGTGGGCTCCCGAGACCTTCCCCGAGTCCCACTGCTCATCCCGCACCCTCCCGTGCGGGGCGGTGTCCTCACCCTGCTCCGCGTCGTAGCGGAACTCGTCTCGGCTGTGCTCCCGGCTCTCGTCCCGGAGCATGTCTGCATCTTCCTCCCCGAACCTCATGTCCATCTCTCCCTCGACGGCTTCCACCGGAGCCGGGGCTTCATCCCCGGGTTCTACTGTGCCTGAGACAGAGCAAGGGACGGGGAGGCAAGGAGCCTGCAGACCTGTGCCAGTGCACGCCCCCGGGCGCAGCACCCCGCCTTCCCCACGCAGAGGGCGCCCCCCCAGCCCAGGCCTGGCCAGCGGAGCAGACACGTCCCTGCAGGGAGTGGCTCAGGGATAACCAACTCCCGAGGGTTTCATGGGAACGTTGAGGAAGAGAAACCTTCTGTCCCCTGCCTGCCCCTGCACTCTTGAGCTAACTAGATGACAATCTGGTGAGACTGGTGACCTTTAGTCTCCAATAGGAAGAGAACGCTGGCCAGGGGAGGCCTGGCCCAGCCACGCCAGAGGCTGAGTCTCTGTGTCCCTACCTTGGAGCTTCCCTGTCACAGGAACCAATAGATCGTTAGTAGCGTGAGAGTGGTTTCACTTAGGCTGGTTTGCGTTGGCTGTCAACCATCTGCAATGGGGAAACTCTCACCCAGCGAAACTTTTCAGCTTTCTGCGGCACGTGCATGCCTTCCCGGCAAAGACCCGGGAGGGGCGTGGAGCAGCACTGCGGGTCCTTCTCAAGGAAGGACTTGTCTCCCCGGCTGCTGGCAGTGCCTGGCCTGAGGTCACACCCACACCCAGTCACCGGGCAAGGTGAAGGGACAAGGTCCCACGGGAAGGACGCCGTGGATGTTCAGCTCTGCAGCACCCACGGAATCAGCCGAGGCTGCGAGGCCTGCGTGTCCCTCCGGGCAGGCAAGCTTGTGTCTCTCCCTGCGCTGCCCTCCCTGGGGGTATGGGATCCCTCAGGACTGACTCCGAGTCTGGTTCCCAGAGAGTCCAACCTATAGCCAGCCTGAGAACAGGATTCCCACGGCCCGCGCACCTTCAGGTTTGGGGGCCTCCTCCCGGACAGGCGCTTCCGTGGGGGGCGGCTCCTCGGGCAGGGTCGGCGTCCACAGGGCCAGTTCCGTGATTTTGGTAGCTTTCCACTTTGGAATGACAGTTACTAATGTCTCCTCCTCCTCTTCCTCTTCTCCTCTTTCCTATTTTAAAAGCAAAAGTGTAAACTGACCAACATTTTTGTCACCTTGGCCAGGAACATTAAAAAGCAGGGAAGGAAAGACAGGTTTTGACTGCCCTTGAGCCCTCTGACGACACTGCTCAGTGATAAGACCAACTGACTACCCAGAGAACCATCCAAGGACTGAGAGTGGATCTTGAAAGAGCTCGGATGAGAGATGCAGTCCACAGCGCCACGCCGGGCCGCCGTCTCTCTGACGGGCACCGCCAGCGGCCTGCAGACGGGCACGCCCTCTGGCCCGCAGTGGCTGAGGAATGGCCAAGACTACATGGCCTTTTCTATTGCTCAGCTGCGTCTTTCAGCTCTAATATGAGTAATTACATTTATATCAAGCTCTAGTCTTAGACCTATTTGTACAAATAAGGTAATAATATTATTCTCTATGCAAATAATAAAAGAAACATCAGTATCAGAAAAGGCCTGCGGACTTCCTCAGACGTCCCCATGGTGATATGGAAGTGCGGAACCATGACAGCTCCGGTGCGAAAAAGTATGGAGAAAAATAAAAGCCAATTAGAGCAGAATGAGAGTTCATTTCTGAGCGCGGAGCTTTCTGATAACGTTCAGTTCCCACAGTGGACAGCAGCCTGCATCTCTCCACCCCGCCCGGCACCTGTCTCCTCCTCAGCAGCCAGCACAACATTCCAAAGCTCTGAGCACCAACCCTACAAGCCCAGAAAACTCCACTGCCACATGGGTGATAACACCTGTGACAGAGTGACAGACATCTGCCCATTACTTCACTGAGTCGCGGAGAAATAAATTGCTCTAGTTGGTATCAGAATGTCTGAGCTCCGTCACTCACGATGCCAGTGCTGAAGGACCACAGTGGCGCTCAGTCCTGACTTGCTCTGGACCCTCCCGGCAGGCCTGTTACAGCACAGATGACCGGCCCCACGCCCAGGGTTTCTGACTCAGTAGGTCTGGGGCGGGGCCCAGTAATTTGCATTTCCGGCAGATTCCACACTGAGACACACCCCCACACCCGGAGGATCTGTAGTCTGGGCACCCAGAGGCACCAGCAGGTCCTCCCCAGGACGGGGGTGACTGCTGGTCACTGAGCCAAGGGAGGCCTGAAATGGGCAGCCTGACACAGGTGGGGGTCAAAGGTCCCTCCCTCCATTCAGGGAACTTTGCAGGCCTATCCTAGCTCCCCAAGAACCTTATGTGCATACCTCACTGTCACTGGCTGAAAAGTGTCCCCCTCAAAGCAGATATGCTAGAATCCTAACTCCTGGTCCCTCAGAACGTGACCTCAGCTGCAGATGGGAGGGGGTGGTCTTTATAGAGAAAAGCAAGTTAAATGAGGTCACTAGGTGGGGGCGGGGGGCCTAACCCAATATGACTGGTGCCTTTATACAAAAGAGAAATGTGGATGCAGAGATGGACAGGAACGGTGGAAAGGCAATGTGAACAGACAGGGAGAAGACAGCTATCCACAAGGCAGGGAGCGAGGCTGGGAACAGACCCTTCCTCACAGCTCAGCAGGAGCTAGCCCGGCAACACCTTGATCTTAGACCTGTGGCACTGCGGGAGACCTATTCCCGTGGTTCCAGCTGTCGGTCTGGGGCACTCTGCTACAGCAGCCCTGGCAAACTAACACGCCCAGGAGCCCAGCCTGAGGCATATCATACCATTTCACGTAAAAGAAAAGGGACGGATGCTAATCAGAAAGTACCCCCCAAACACAGGACTGTGTTACAGTTGTTTTTCTTTGTAAAGTTGTTAATAGTGCAAAACTTAAAAGCATGTCACCTTTCTCCCCAAGAGGGCCAATGGGCCCTCGGTATTTGTGAGTTCAGCATCCGTGGATCAAAAATACTCAAGGGAAAAAAAATGGATGTTTGTGTCTGTATTGAACATGCACAGATTTTTTTCCCTTGTCATTATTACCTAAACAATACAGTATAACTACTGCTTACATAGCATTTAATCATACTAGACGTTATAAGTAATCTAGAGATGATTTGAGGTACACAGGAGGATGTTGCAGGTATTTGCCAATGCCACACCATTTTATGTCAGGGACTTGGGCATCCATGCATTTTTGGTATTCAAGGGGGGGGAGTCCCACAGACATCGAGGGACAGCTGTACTGGCAAATCGGCACAACTAGTGCCAGGTGATCCAAAGACAGGTGGTCGGGGCAGTAGCTTTGGACACTGCCACCCACAGCAGAAACGCACCTTACGTCATGGCCCAGCGCCCATGTGACACATACACACCCAAGATGGAATCCGCTTGAGATTTTCTATTCTATTCCATTGCATTTTCTGAAATGTTGCTCACAATCTATTAAATTAATTTTACAACCCATTAAAGGGAACATGCACTTGGAAAAACATTGCTCTAGCCAGGGGTTGGCAAATTTTGCTGTCAGCTATTATATTTTAGGCTTGGCCAGCCACACAGTGTCTGTGGCAACTACTAATTCTGCTGTTGCAGTGTAAAACGAGCACAGACAGTACTTAAACAAATCAGCATGGCTGTGTTCCAATAAAACTTTATTTACAAAACCAAGAGATGAAACTCTTGTACATTGCTGATAGGGATGTAAAATGATAAAATGATGCAGCTACTGTAAAAAATATTTGGCAGTTCCTCAAAAAGCTAAACAAAATTACCATATGACCCCCAGCAATTCTACTCCTAAATACGGACTCAAAAGAACTGAAAACAGAGACTCAAACAGATACTTGCACATCAATGTTCACTGCAGCATTATTCATAATAACTAAAAGGTGGAAGCAACCCAGTGTCCACCAACACACAAGTGGATAAGCAAAATGTGGCCTATCCCCACAGAGGAATATTATTCAGCCATAAAAAGGAAAGAAATTCTGACACAGGCTACAACATGCGTGAACCTTATAACATCATGCTAAGAAAAAGAGGCCAGATATAAAAGGACAAATACTGAATGAATCCATTTATATAAAATATCTAGAATAGGCAAATTCATAGGGACAAAAAGTAAGTTAAAGGAGCGGAGAAAGGAGAACAGGGAGTTGCTGCTTAACAGGTACAGGGTTTCCGTTGGGATAATGAGCAAGTTCTAGAAACATACCGTGGTAATAGTTGTGCAACACCGTGAATGTGCCTAATGCCGATGAACTGTACTCTTTAAAATGGCAAATTTCATATTATATAAATATATATATATATAACTACAATTTAATTAAAAAAGAACAGGCCGTGGGCAGTTAAGGCATAAAGATTCAAAGACTCCTTCCAATTTTAGAAACTGAGAGACTTCAGGGAGAAGAATGAGAAAGGTTTTAAAAATGTCTGGAGAGCACAGAATAGAAAAACCAGTGAGGAGTCAGCCTTAGGATTCAAGGCCGCACAACATGGCAGTGAGCAGGTGCGGCAAAACCCTTCGTGAATACTCATGAACATCACCCCCTGCACATGTCCCAACTCCCTCGGCATGCTTCTACCTCTTGTGACCGAGGGCAACTTTCCTGAGCTCCACAGCTGCCCCCAGGTGATGAGAAGAGTGGGATTGAGGCAGTCCCCTTGAGTGGTGCGAGGGGACTGAGAAGAGACAGCAACAAAAATAAATCAAAAGGAGATAGCTCCGCTCAGGTTGAAAGAGCACTGCTCTGATGACAGCCCCAAACAACTGGGTTCCTGGCTTTCTTCAGAAAAAAAAAAAAAATACATAGATACAAGAGAGTTTGTATATAACATATTTTTAACTAACTAGGACAGGATTCCCAAAGAATTACAGAGACCAAAGAGAAAATAAAAGCACAATTTTTTGCCAGGCTCTGGCTCCTCCTTAAAACTCAAAATTTCTTATAATGAGAATGATTTTGGGTAAAATAAATGAGTCAAAGGCTTAAAACTAGTGCAAAGATTAGGAAATTTTACTAAAATGCCAATCAGTCAGAAATTAATAATGACAGGAATATAAACACAGACATCTCTACCCCCAACACACATATACATATCTGGATGCCTAATGGCAATATTAGCTGGCTAATATTAACCAGGAAATATCAATTTAGTATTAATATTGATGTTAAATATTGGAAAAGAAATTATTTACCACCTAAGCTTTAAGAAGTGCAAGTCACACACCCGACATGCTGACAGTCATCATTGGATAAATTTTGGTGACACCAGTTATAGACTTCAGCCGTCATTTCTCTGACTTAACTCTGTCTAGAACTCCCCAACTCAGGATTAGTTGGTTTCTATTGACAAAAACTAGGACCAGACTCCTGCAGTAACTGTGAAATGATACTGTTTACAGATAGACCTTTTGGCAATTTAGCTCTATACTAGCACATGCAAATAAGGAAAATGCAAATGTGAACGTTCCCCAGACTTGGCCTAACTTTTTAGGCAAATCACCTCTAACCCTGTAGGATCAATATGGCCAAGCAGCTCCTTTGCCTATGAATGTAGAAGACGATACATACTCCGCAACTTACCACGTCTGTTAAGCGATATTCACCATGCTGTTCACATCCGATATCAAATACATACTTCCCAGGGCCAACAGGCTATGAGCAAAGAGAAACCAAAGGGTAGTTTACTCCTAAGTGTCAACTCCCAATAGAAAATACAGATTGCTTTATAAATGTTACCACCATAAAACCTACCCCCAAATCATAAAATTGGGTGAAGTCCAATATGGGTTAAAGAATGCTCGTATGAACTAACAGCTAATGGAATTGCCAAGTATACGAGGTCTGTCCGGAAAGTACGCAGCCATGTAGTATGAAAAACAGAGATATTTACTGAAGAAGATACAAGATGTAAAACACATTGTACATAGGACAATGATACCTCAGTCCCCTTCAAAGAAGGCACATTGGGGCCTCACACAGTTCTCCCTGTGTCTCTTAACCCAACCCGTACACATTCAACATGCTCAGGTGCTCTGCTTGTCACGAGCCTTCTAGAATATGCATTGCTTTCAACAGATTCTTGGCTGTCTTTGAAACGTTTGTGCCACACTTTTATTTTGCACTGTACTCACTGCATCGGCCCTGAAAGCTGTCTGAATGATCCGAATAGTTCCCACAGAGGAGTGTTCAAGCTTAACGCAAAATTTGCTGCAGATTCATGCTCTACTTGCTCAGTCATTTTGGATGCGACGGCCACACAGCACACAGGCTCGCTCAGCGGCCTGCAGCACCCCACTGACTAGCACAGTGAAGCTGTCATTGTTCACGCAGGCGCATCCCAGCCCACTGCCCCTGGCTGCCAGGTCACATTGACGTCTCGTCATACCAACGATGGCTGGATACTTTCGGATAGACCTCGTACGTCCTATTTTGTTTTCTGAAACTTTAAGCACATTTTTCTTCTTTATAAAAGTGCTGTATTCACTATAGAAACCTGAATAAGTCAACACCCATAGGTAAACCAGCTAGAGATAGAACTGCTACTATTTTGATGTATTCTTTGTAACTTTGTTTCTAGTACATACTTTTTACAAAAATCTGGTCATAAATGCACAAACTGTAATAACTCACGCTCTATTTTTACTTAGAAATATGACATGAACTACTTCCCACATTTACAAATATTATTTCACAACACCAATTGTCAACCTGGTATTTTATTTCATCTGTGTCTTATCATCTATTTTACTCATTTACTATTGTTGATATTTGGGATGCTGATTTTTTAGAATGCTATAGTAAACATAGTCTGAATTAAACTTTATGTACACCCTTGATATTTTTCTTAGGGCAAACTGCCAGAAATTCTGGACAAAAGTATACATGTATTTTGACTAGAATGAGGCTCTAATAATTTCCATTCCTACAACAGCACTTAAAAGTCTCCACGACCTTAAACCCGTTGTTTTTTAGAGCACATTTTGTTCTACTTTTACAGTTTTATAAAAAAAAAAAAAAATGAGAGCTCACCATTTTAATTCACATCTTTTAAGTTATTAGTAAGGTTGAATTTTTTTTCCAAGATTTTTGTCCATTTAATCACATGAAGTTCTTTATATATTAAATATTGCAAATATCTTCTCCACATTTAACATTCATCTCTTAAATTTTCTTTATAGTGTTTTCTAATCTATAAGAGGTTATTTTTATAAAGTTAAACCTACTGGCTTTCCCTTTGTGCTTCTGTTTAGAAGTCCTCTTTTCTCATTTCAAAGTTAATAAATATTACCTATATTTTTTTCCATATGTGATTTTCTTGGTTATGTATAAATTTTAATTTTTGCTGCAAAGCACCCTCACCTACATGCTGAAGGAAAGCCTGTGATTTTCCCCCAAATGATCGAGGTATCCAACACTGTTCCTCGACAGGAACACATCTGCATTAATTTGAAATGACATTCTTACCAAGCCTTCAACTACTGTCTCCACTTGGATCTGTGTCTAGACCTTCTAATTTGCTTCACTGGTCTGTATATTGCAATCCTCGTATCACACTGCTTTCATTACTTTAGTTAATGTACAGTGTGTTTTGATAACTTGTCCATAAGGCCATGAATAAGTAATTTTCCAGGGAAGAAATACAGACCAGCAATAAAAGCATGACAAGATTCTCGACCTCACTAGTAATCAGGGAAACACACCTTAAAACAATAACATTTTTTGCCTTTCAGATTTGAAAAGACTGTGAACTAAAATGCTCACCACCACCCCCACACACACCAGCTGACTGAATGGACCCTCTTGTGGCCAAAGGAATATTCTAGGGCAAAGGTGCCTGCCAGGAGGAGGGGGGTCTGACATGCCTTATCATGCCCCCCTCCCTTCTTGGAGACTTCCTTTGTAACCCATTAACAGGCCTAAGGGTATGTAAGACAAACCTGCAGGTCCTCAATTTATGCAACAAATGGTGGCTTATCTTTGGTAAACAGTTTATGTTAAAACATTCCAAGTCTTTAGACAAAGCTTCATGTCTTTAGCCAATTACAATCTAAAGAATCTTTAAACCCACCTATAACCTGTAAGCGCCTGCTTCGTGATGGCCCTCCTTTTTGGGCCAAACCAATGTATGCCTCCCACGTATTGATTGATGGCTTTAAGTAACCTTTGTCTCTGAAATGTATAAAAACCAAACTGTAACCCAGCCAAAGTCCACTTGCCCAAGGCCTCATGGCAGTGGCTCCAGGTCATGGTCTTCAAATTTGGCTCAGAATAAATCTCTTTAAAATTATTTTGCAGAGTTTGGCTTTTTTCCGTTGACAAGACCGATAACATCCAGTGTTGGTGAGAATATATGATAAACAGACTCCAGTTCTGTTGGCAAGAGTATAAATTGACACGGCTTGTTGGGGCAACTGGCAGATACATCACGATTTAAAATGTCAGTCCTCACAGGTTCAGCAAGCCCAGCCACCTCATGATCTAACCTGCATAATCACTCTCAAATATGCACAATGATAAAAGACATATCTTTGGGTATATTTTGTGTCCTGATATAGTGTGATCCTACTTAAGTAATTAAAACCCCCAAACTGTAATTCTGTATAAGCTATATGTACAAGCGTGTGCGCACATGACACATGAAAATAGTGTGGAAGTGGGGAGAATTCTAGTGTTCAAATGCTTTATAATCACAACGTACTGGTGCGCTATTCGTATAATTTTAAAGTTGTTCACTAGCAGGCAGATCAAAGGTTCCATTCTCACCCTTATTTTTCAGATTGGCCTAGGGGCTGTTAGAGTTTATTGATTCTTCCAGATTAGTTTTTGTCAAGTTCTCTTCTTCTCCACCCACCTTTCTATATGGACAAAATCCAGGGGAATTTTGCCGGGCATTACATAAACAATGTACAGATCTGAGGAGAATGTGTAAATTATATGTAACGAAAACTGGGTTTCAAGAGAGTCTGAGTAGACTTCATTAAATCAGTGTCAGCTCCCCACACCATCAATCTGCTCAGCCTGAGTGGTCACTTCTGAACTATTCACATTTCTCTGCATTTCACAGGGGCTCTGCAGAAGGGCAGTGGAAGCCACAGGGTCCCCCACAGTGAACCCAGGCCCATGGCAGGCTAGCACCCACTCCAGGCAGGAGCTCCAGCACCAGCCCTCCTGGGGGAAACAAAGCCCATGCACTAAGTGCTGAACTGTTGAGAAATATGATTGAGGAATTAATGAGATGTGGCTCATAAGATCATTATTTTATTGTATCGCCCAATATTGCTATGTTAAAGACAGAAACAGGAGTTTGCAGGGTTTTGCCCCAAGGAATATGTGAACTCCTTGGTTCGCTGATCAAGGGCTGCCTCGCCTTGGGAGGGCTCCCAAAACTCCGATGTGGATGCATTCCAGGAGGCTTCTCGCTTATCTCAGGTCTGTGAGCCTCCCTGATCTTGAAAGACAAGACAGGTGAATATCTGGCTCACAGAATGGGAGCCAGAGACAATGAGTGCCCTAGGCAAGAGACACACCCCTGTGGTTATGAACATTTTGTTATGTGGAGATGGGCTTCCTGCTCTCTCCTATCTGCCTTAAGTCCACAATAACTAGATCAAAGAAATACAGAGCCACTATACCTCTTTGTTATTCCTCTGTTAATTGATAATTATCACTTAGAACTTAGAAGTTAGTCCTTGAAAGATTTTGTAGCCATTTGTTCACTTTGATATAATACCTTAGAATTTGTTAGAAGCCCTTTGAAAAAACTTGTAACCCTAACCAACTACCTGTTCACATGTAAATCTGTTCCCATAGCAACCAAAATTATCTGATATGTAAATCTGTTACCCTGGCAACTAATAATTGATATCTGTGACTATAAAAACCTATGTGAATCTTACCTCAGGGCTGCACTACTGATGGAGGGTAGTGTAGACTCCTGAGTACCCCTGCTTTATCTAAGTTTCTTTATATAAACCTATAAAACTATACCTTCGTCTCTGTGTATTTTATTTTCTCTATTTCCTAGTAATTTCTTATCCCCTATGGCTACTGCTACCTAAGGGACCTGGCTTTCACAGGGAGAAGCAGCCGATCTCTCCGCCGCCTGCCCCACATTGCACCCCGCACTGAGCTGCAGGAAATGGACGTCTGACTTCTGGTTCAGCAAGGGGAAGGGACACAGCAAGAGGTAAGTGCCTTCCTTGTGCCACAAATGACACAGCAGGCCACTGCTGGAAGAAGGCAGGAATCTCCACAGAGATACAGAGAACTGGGCCAAGCTGCCCCCCCCCGGCCGAGAGTCTGCCCTCCGTGAGTGCCAGAGAGGCTCAGAGCGAGGCACAGCTGCCCTGCCACCCACCTTTGGATGGGATGGGAGGGCTTCCCTGAGCTTTCAGTATTTTCTAGTCACACATTTGCACAGGTTGGTAGGGGGGTGGATTACCGTGCACTTCAAATGTCGCTTCCCGCTGACTTACATTTTTGTTGAAGAACTTGCCCTGGTACCTGTGGTTCAGGTGAATGAGCTCGGCCGCTCCCTCCTGCTGCCCGTTCACCCAGGTGCCCACGTACTTGCTGCCCGTCTCTGCATAGAAGTAGGTGCCTTGCCCGTGCCTGGTTAAGACAGGGGCACATCACATTTTGCTCCCACACAGTGAAAAACCTCCCGGGTTTATAACAAAGACACTGAAATTGCAGGTGGCCTAGACTGATGCAGGCTCACAGCGACTTGGCTTCTTTATCTGTGTCCAATTAAAAGATGCCTCAGCTCAGCATGCCCCAAGCACCGGACATGACATTAGCAAGCACACAGAGAAGGGCCTCACCCGCCACAGAGCCAGTGTCCTGTGGTCAGCCGTGGCTCAGGCCCCCACTGGGTCTTCTGTGCCCTCCGCTCCCAGGGGCTTTGGGTTGAGGGCCCCACGTGTTCTGCCCCCTTGAGGAGAGACGCCAGTCACACGAGCTACACCTGCTCAGTAAGGCGTCCTCCGTGGTGCTTGCCTTACCCCCATGCAAAGATTCGAACCGCCCGCTCAGTTGGTAAACGGGCTTTCATCCGGACTCTGTTATTTAGTAAGCGTAAGCAAGCTGACGACATCAGCATTCTCATCACACACACAGACTGCGGGACTGAAGGCGGAAGGCGAACCTTTGGTGAGCAAACCACTCTCCGGTGTAGGTGTCGTTGTTGACGTAGTAGTACACGCCGTGGCCGTGCTTATGGTCATCCGCCCACTCCCCTGAGAGGGACGACACAAGAGCAAGCCTGGGTGAGAAGAAGGGATGGATGCCTTGACAGCGTCTTCAAACTATTAATGACGGCAGAGGCGGATTTGCTGTAAAACAAAAGCTACAGCTTCAGGGCCCCCAGCACACTCAGGCCCCTTCTGAGGCCCAGGGAGGGGCTCTCACAATGTGCTCAAGAAATTCTGCAAATGAGATGTATTTAATTGCACTGGCTAAGGCCACCAGCTCTTGCCATTCCCTCCATCCTCCTTCCTTGTGCCCGCTGGCATGGAATGCCTGAGCCATTGTGGAGAGTGGGGAAAGAGGGTGGTGTCGGGGGATCACTGGCCCGGGCAGGGCAAGGTGCTCATGGGTCACAGTCACCTCCGTGTACGGGCAAGCAGGCGTCACGGTTGGTCCGGGGCAAAGTGATCCTTCAAACCAAGGTTGTCTGATCCCTTGCCAGTGGTCCCGACACCACACTCCATTGACCTGCCATGTTTAGTGACCCAGCAACCACTCCAAGCCTTGGCAGTCAAGCCCCAGCCACTGCCAGCGTCTCCCTCTTTCCCGCCTAGCCACCTGGCTCCACACTCCATTCCAGCCCAGCTGCCACCGCTGCCCCACCCGCACGGCGCCTCGTGCCACCAGATGCCACCTCGTGCCACCAGATGCCACCTCGTGGCTGGCCCCTGCCTCTTTGTGGGCTGTCCCCTCACTTCGGTGTCCCTGCCTGTTCACTTTCACATAGGTTCCCACTATTAATAATTTCCTATAGAAATTATTGCAACTGCAGTATTGGTAGGAATTGCAGTATTACAATTGCAGTATTGGTAGGAAATACTGCAACTGACGAAGAGATCATAAAATTCATAGCCTACCTCTACAATGAGGACCACAGCAAACTAGTGTTGCCAATCAAAGGGCATTTGGAATTAATCCCTGTGCTAGAAAACTCCAAATGTCCTCAAAAACTACAGCTCACGTATGAAGGAAACTTAACAGAGGTTTCTCAAAGTTGACAACTAACTTAAAAATGTATGTATTACGAATAACAAGTCATTAAGCTGAATGCCACTTTTCTAGACTATGAATAACAAAAAGCAAATTTGATTAATTTGTTGATTAAAAAGAAAGGGAGAAATTACCTTTCTTTCTATAGAAAACATTATAAAATTGCTATCGTATAGATAGACATTCAAAGAATATTAGCTAACAAAGGCAGAGAAAAACTATTCTAGAAGTGTGTCAGATATTAATTTTAAAAACTTGGGGCCGGGCGTGGTGGCTCATGCCTGTAATCCTGGCACTCTGGGAGGTCAAGGCAGGCGGATTGCTCTAAGTCAGAGGACAGCGGGGAGCAGCACAGAGAGCTACGCTGCAGGATTTCAAAAGGTGGACAATAATTTGGAAAAAGAGCAGCTTACCAAAAATTCATGAAGGGAAGAAGGGTGGCAAATGTTAGCAATTAAGAAAGAGAGTTAGGTCCCAGGATGCGATATGTGACGGAGACAACGTGAACAGGAGAGATGGAGAATCCCAAAACTGAGATAATTCAGAGAAAGACACTTTCAGTGCCTGAGCCTACTACAGTAACCATGAGGATATGCAGAACGTGCAGGGACACACCTTGGAGGATTTGTCTGGACCTTAGGGGGCCAGTGATGTGCCTGGATTTGTAGCATTTGCCAATGTCCGTGGTGCAAATATTCTCACTACAGCCAATTTCGAGCTGCGTTTGGAAGTGGGGAAAGAAGTGCAGAACTGGCTTCTGTGAGCTATTAGGAGCTGGCTCCAGCACACCCCTGGGGCAAAGAGAGCTTAGCTGAAACATTTATATCATCTGGTTTCTAACAAAAGACCAGGACAAAATCTCTTGACAATGTGATCTGGTCTCCAGGGTAGTGTGGCAAGAAGAATATATTACATACTTTGCAGAAATTTTTCAAAATGATAGAGAACAATTAAGTTGCCAAAGACACTAAATTTCACACCAGTGAGGGCTGGTCAGCAAAGTTTTTTAAGTCCCAGTCTACTTAGATAACTGTCAGAGACTCTGCCCGGCAGATTATAATGCCACCACAGGGGACCCTGCACAGCTGAGAAGGTATTAATAATTCACAGAAAAGTCACCTGCTGAGGCAAGTCTGTAACAGCCATGAACCAAGCTTTCTTTTTTGAAGTGGATGACATTTAGAAACTGTATTATGGTTGCTTTAAATTTGTACTTAACTTTTTTTTTAAAAGATTTTCTACCCTTAATCCTATACTTTCCTCATCATTCTTGATCTTGTCAACTAAAGTTTCTTCCAAGCACATTTCTTTTCAGGAGTAATTCCTGCAAGTGGGTGAGTGGGTGGGTGGGTGTTGTGGGGTTGGGTGCTCCTGTGGAGGGCACTGTGTCACTCAGAAAGCTCTCCACAGGTGTCAACCCTGCCACTGTCACCATGGCTCCCAGCTCTGGCACTCTGGGGACGAAAGGCAATTTAAAGTGGAAGCTCTCACAAGTGGCGCTCCTCCCAGCTAAATGCTGGTCAGTCATCACCTTGCCTTGCTGGGCACTGGTCTTGCCAAGCTGGCTCCCTGCACCACGGGCTCAGCCAAACGCAGAAGGAACTAGCACTATGGGAGACACGGTGCCAGATGCCAGCCAGGCCCTTTGTCCTTGCCCAGCAGGTGGCACTCGTAATGACTGACATGCTTTACAGACGCAGACCCCGAGAGGCAGACAGATGAGGTGTGCTGGCCAAGGTCACAGAGCTGGCAGGCAAATGTCTGGGATGAAAATCCAGGGTAGTCTGATTCCAACGTCAGGCCTCTTCTCACACCAACAGCAAGTGCTCACTTCTTCCTCCAGCTCCTGCCATGTGCAAGCTTCCAGAAAAACCAACTTTAAGTCATCGTATCACTTTTGTTTCTCCACAATTTCATTATTGGACTTCATTTTGATTCGTTCTACTCGGCAGGCAACAAGACCAGAAAGTAATGCTCTCTCTCTTTCCCCAACCTCACAGCCCTCGCACGGCCCTCCTGTCTGCATCCCCTAACTGCAGAACCTGTAGATGTGGTCCAAAGGCCTTTCCAAAACCTGGCACCCCTCACCCCTCCACCCTCAGCTCCTACCACCCCTAAACACCTCCACTTCCCTGCCCCTGCTCAAGTCACCCACTGACCCAAAAACACCTCCTAGCCCCCCTCCCCTGGCAGCAAGGTAGCCTTCTGCACACTCCTGGGCTCCGAGTGGACATGGCTGTGCATCTGGGAGGCCCATTCAGGGCCTGGAGTCCTGAGGCTGAACACACCACCCGCATGAAGCCACTCTGGCCCGTTACCATGGCAACCAGCCAAGATATGCTATTATGAATAATTTAGCCACCCATTAACTTAGGTTTTGTGATCGAGGAACATTGACTTGCTAAGCTAAAACTAATATTGTAGCTCTGACCTCAGTTTCCATTACTGCCTTAGGGAAATAAGACACATTTAAGTTTCAGTCCGTGAAGAAATCTCTGATAGTGATTATACCTCGCACCCTTTAAGATATGAAGCCATCTGGAAAAACAAAAATTCCCAACTGTTTGAAAACGAGTTTTATATGTTGGTGCAGTATAATTAGAAATATATTGGGTATTTATTTATGGAACCTGGCACAAAGCTCCTAAAACCTTTAAAATTTCCTGAGTGATAGGCGTGTCTCTTGTTATTCATAATGGGACTCTCTTGATCAAATCTGAGTTTATGCAGATGAGGTGACTTACGATGGGGCCCCAGGACACCCTCAAGATGAGGCCGGTCACCAGAAAGACCCAGTGATGGGAGGGGGGAACTTTCAGACCCGCCCACCAACCTCTGGGAAGGGGAGAGGGGACTGAAGATCAAACTCTACAAAAGCCCTGGAACAAGACTGATGAGCTCCTGGGTTGGTGAAGGCATCACATGCCAGCAGGGTGGTGCTCCCCAACTCCATATGGACAGAAGCTCCTGTGCCAGGGAACCTTCTGGACCATGACCCAGGCACCTCTTCATCTGACTGTTTACCTGTGTTCTTTGTTTTTGTTTTGTTTTTTGTTTGTTTGTTTTTTTTTTTTGAGACAGAGTCTCACTCTGTTGCCTGCCTGGGCTAGAGTGCCATGGCGTCAGCCTAGCTCACAGCAACCTCCAACTCCTGGGCTCAAGCAATCCTCCTGCCTCAGCCTCCCGAGTAGCTGGGACTATAGGCATGCACCACCATGCCCAGCTAATTTTTTCTATATATTTTTAGTTGGCCAATTAATTTCTTTCTATTTTGAGTAGAGACAGGGTCTCGTTCTTGCTCAGGCTGGTCTCGAACTCCTCAGCTCAAACGATCTACCTGCCTTGGCCTTCCAGAATGCTTACAGGCGTGAGCCACCGCGCCCAGCCTACCTCTGTTCTTTGGTAAGTGTAAGTTGAGTGTTTCCTTGAGTTCTGTGAGCCATTATCCAAATTGTCAAACCTGATGAGAGAGCTGCAGGAACCCCCAACTTGTAGCCAAGTCAGACAAGTGTGGGTAACCTGGGCCCAGTACTTGTGATTGGCATCTGAAGTTGGGCAGTCTTCTGGGACTGAACCCTTAACCCCAGTGGGGTCTGACATTAACTCTGGGTAGTGTCAGAATTGAGTTGAACTGTTGGAAACCCACTTGGTATCCACAGAGAACTGGAGACTTGTTTGGTGTGGAAAATGTAATGTGACATATACATTCGGTGTCAGAGTTGTTAGTAGAGAAACAATTTTCCCTTTAGTTAACCTTCATATTAAAAATTCCTTAAATCCCTTATTTATTCTGAATATCATATATATACACATATATATCAAGAATATGGACAGGAAAATAAAAATCTCACCCCCCAACCCCTCATACAAAAGGGAAGGTCAAGCCTGGAGGCAGAGTCATGCAACACCCCGTGAACAGCTGTTACTAACATTACACATCAGCCAGATCCCAGATCCCCTTGGAAAGGTAAAAGGCCTCAGGCATCTACAAGAACTACCCCCCATAGATCACTCATAAGGAAATTTCTTGCTGACCTCTCATAAACAAAGACATACAGATTGTAACTTTAGGTCTGCAGGCAAAGTCTAGTTCCGAAAACTAAAGCATTTGATTCCACACTAATAATGTTGATTACAAGTTTATTTTCCTAGGTGTGGAACAGAAACAAGACAAGATCAAGCGTTCTTCCACCTCCCCAGAGACATGTGTATGACTGATCCCTCCTTCACTCCTTTTTCTAACATTCACCTGATCTTATGTAAAATGTAGATTTCGTAGGCCTCACAAGAATATAACAATTTATCTCACTGACCACCCCCTTCTTCCTTTTTTCTTTCTGTATGCCCTAATTCTTTAAAAACTGAGTTCCCAAATCCCACTTCAGAAAAACAGGCATAAATGCATCTGTGGTTTGTGTTTTTCCCAGGCGCATCCTCAAACTTTGGCCTCAGTCACTTGTTTTGGATTGTCATAGATATGTTGTTCAAATTGTATCAACATCTACACTGAAATCAGAAGTGACGACGAGATTAGGCTCATAAGGATTTGGAAAGAATTAAATTAAGCCCTAAATTAAATTGTTTAAAGTTAATTTAAAAACCTGATGGTGCTTCTTCTGGAGCAAGCCTTCTAAGAGTGATGAAACAAAACAAATTCTGTCTCTAACAGGAATGACATTAGCACTTTTGCTCTTGGTCTCTGAATTAGACAGAATCCCCCTCCTGTAATTCTTTGACATCTATTATTACTGGTTCCTTTTTATCTGGGAAGAAAGCATGTAACTGTAGTTTGCACTTTAAGAATATGTCACCCTCATTAGGAAGTGGTGCTGTCGCCATGGTAAACTGTGGTCCTAGCTGACATGTACTGAGCACTTACCATGAGTTAGGCATGGTTCTAAGTATTTCATGTGTATTAATCCATCCTCATACTACAGATGAGAAGCTGAGGCAAAGAGAGGTGAAGTCACGCATTCGAGGTCACACCTATTGTCACCAAAGTCCAGGGTTTGGGTCATAGACCTTTTTGGAAATCTGCCAAAAACTAGATAACTTCTTCCAGGGGAAAAACAAATGCCCAGAACCTAGAATTTCACATATAGTTTCTGAAGGCTCACAACCCACTCCCTATGCATCTGTCTTCCCAGGTTTGGGATTGGACTAACACTGTAGTCACACCAGGTGACAATGGTATGTGGGAGCAGCAGTGAGGTTCCTGGAAATAAAGGAGCAAAGATCTTCCTGAGATGTAACATGGGTAAGGAGTGACGCCAGAGAAGCCCTCACTGAAGAAACCACCAGATCTAAAGAAAGTGCCCACCGGAAGAGGGGATGGTCAGAAGTGAAAAACAGCAAAGACACTTTCAGGGAGATGGATGCTGCCACAGGTCCCGCCAACACTGAGGCCTGTGCTCACCCAGGCTCCCTTTCATTTGCTCCCTTGCAGGGGTTCCTGGGGGGATTACTTAATTGTCGATTAATTACAAGGCTTTCTGGTTTCTGTGTCAACACTGTGAACACAGGGAATACAATTTGTGTTTGCTGAATGACTGCCTAATCTGAAGAACTTTAAGCTTTCAAAAAAAACCTCTACAACACAAAAATCTGCTTTGTGACAATATCTTACCTTCGTATCTTGATCCATCTGGATATATAAAAATGCCTTGACCATGCTTTTTATTTCTAACATATTCTCCGGTGTATCGAGCACCATTTTTAAATCTGTAGACCCCCTGAAACACATTAATTATATAATTCATATCATTACTGAATATAATATTAGCCAACAGGGTATTAAATAGAGAAAACGGCCCAGTCAAGTGACAGGTTCTGACCTGGCCATGTCTCTTCCCGAATTCGTAGCTCCCTTCGTAGGTGTCCCCGTTGGGCAGCCTGGCTTTCCCATGCCCATGCCGTTCGCCTGCCTCGTTCCGATCCCCCTCATAGTCCTGGGTGGAAGATGCTGAGATAATTACAGCTACCAGGCATTAAGCGCTGAGCATGTGCTAAGCATTTTATAAATATCGTACCATTGAATCCTCTCCATCCTAGGTGTCACATTCAATTGCCCCATCTTGCAGGTGAGGTGGGTAACCAAGCCTGGGAAAGACAAAGCACTGGACCAAAGTGACACACTAATACATGTCCCTGGTGGGAGCCTTACTCTCTCCCTCCAACATCTGAGCTTGCAATTTATTATGATAATCCTTTACGCTATAAACAAAACCAACCAGTTCGCTTGAAAATTGCTGGGTACTCTAGGCTATGTTCTTTATAGGAATACAACTGCAATAGCACATACAGGTGGAGCAGTCCAAGCCCACACAAATACCTCCTGCTTTGCTTCCTTTGATGATCCAGAACTTCAAAGGCAAATGCCCTGAGAGAAGTAACTCTTCCTTCAAATGATCCCTAAGTGTCTGGGGCCTGAAGAGGCCTTTGCAAGGAATTTGCAAGGAATTTCCAACATGACAAAGAGGGGTGGGAGGGTGCTGAGGAGTACATGGAACTCCACTGTCTACTAAGTCAACTTAGTTTATTTTATTATTAAACTCCCAATCAAGAAACTTAAGGTTCAAACACTCACAGCCCAATACTGAAATAATTACATATCTATCTTAAAAGTAAATCAATAAACTATGGTGGCAGAATCCTGCAACTTCCCTATTTTTCCTATCCTTGATAAAATAAATGTTGCTTAGCACCTAATACATGAGTATAGAGTGCATATAATAAAATGGCCAAAGCATATAGTAATGATTTAATATGGGTATCTCATAACATCAAGTTGCATACTTTAAGTACACAACAAAATTTATGAAAAATAAAAAAAAATAAAAACTACAAAATTGGCTCCATCTAGTTTTATTTTAACACAAGTACAGATACACTACATTGAGGACTTCAAAACAAACGTCTGTGCAATTCTTGCCCTTTTCTAGCATTGTTTGGCCCAGAAATTCTTGCCTAGACTATAAGGTAAAAAAAAAATTGTGACCTTACAGAGATTTGCTTTAGGGTTAGTGTCAATCAAAATGTATAAATGGCCCCTCCTCCCATCCAGAGACCTCCCAAAACACCCAATACTGAGCCACTAGGCTGGCTGAATAAGAGAGCAATCCTTTAAAATGATCCCAAATGTGATCTGAACCTAAAAACTATGGACACTTCATAGTTACAAATAGGGCCATTTGAGGAGACTAACTAGAAAGCTTGCTGAGCCGGTGTTGCAGGTTGCCTTCACCCAGAAGCATATCCTTAACAAGTGATTTTTTTTAAAGTGCTCTTCTGGGAGAAACTTGTAAAGGGGGCAGGGCAGTAGATAAGAAAGAGGCAGTGGCTAAGCAAGGATGCAATTCCAGGTGAAGTCCCACATACAGCCTGATCTCACAGGGACTCTGGAGCATGAACTGCACTGCAGAGTTCACCCTGCTTTTTGCACTAGCTACTGGCTGTCAGGAGGAGATGGAAATCCCAGGCACCATTCTGGCTCTCCATACTGGCCAAGTGGTTCCAGTGCATAGAGGTGCTAGCCCTGTGCAGCAAGTCCGGCAGAAGCTGGGAGATGAGTGCCCAGAGCTAGCAAAATGGTCTGAGCAGGCACTGACACAGCACCACAGCAGAGACGCTAGATTTTTCGGTTAATTCTGAAAAGTGTCTCAACTCTGTACTGTGCACACACACAAAAGCTGAGGTTCCCAACCTGTTGGCCAGGGAGTGTCACCCTCTGGCTTGGGGAGGAACTACTGTCTGGAAGGTACAAATATGCCCACACAAACCCCAGCTCACTTCTCTGCTGCCTGAACCAGGAAATGATTCCAACGACCTGGGTCAGTTCAGAGGAGGCTGAAGAAAGCACATGTGAGTACAGGCCTATGTAGTAATATCTCCAGGAAACCTCATCTGAGCCCAGGGCCTCCTCAGTATTTCTTGGAAGCTGCCAGCAAGCAGCTTTCCTCCACCAATCTCAATTCTGAGAGAGCAAGACTCAGTTACAGAAATGGCTTACTCAAAGGGTAGGCTGGCAGGCTGGGATGCTCTGATCATCCGAAAAAACCGCCTCAGTGGGGGTTAATACAGGGAAGAGGAAACTTCCAAAGCTGTTCCCATGGAAACCTTCACCTTAGATGGGAGGCGGGGTGGGAGTGGGCGGAGAGCAAGGAGGGATGTGGTATCCAGACGTCATTGCGTGTCGTCTTTCACTTTCAGCTTCCAGGACGCTGCGCCCTGAGGGGCCGGCATGGTCCTGGGCCCCGGCTGGGCCTCCTGCGGGCCGCGGCTCGGTCCTCGGGTCTCCACGCCTGCCGGCCCCGCACCGACCTCCGGAGGGTCCCCGCCGCCGCGCACGCCCTCCCTCACCCGGCGCTCTCACCCCAAGATCATTCTCTCCCTCCTCCTCCAACTCCTCAGAGCCCAGGTCCGACATGGTTTCGCCCCGGCCTGGATCCCCGCAGCAGCGTCTCCAGCAGGTAAGTACCAGCCGCCTCCACCGCCGCGTCCCACGTCGCCATGGAGACGGGGCAGCCGCCTCCCTCCCAGCCCCGAAGGTGGGGTAGGAAGGGGCGGGGCGGGCGGCGCGGGGCGGAGCCACTGGCAGCCTTCGCGTACGGTCATGGCAACAAGAAGGTGCCTCGACCAATCGCCGCCCGGGAAGAGAGAGGGGCGGGCAGGAGGGCGGGGTGAAAAGCGTGGGTGGAGCCGGCTGGCGTCGCCTCGGCCAATCGCCGCCCGGGAAGAGGGAGGGGCGGGGCCTGCGGCAGACTGCACACCCGGCTGCCCGCTGGCTCCCTAACCTGGACTCCACGTCGCAGGCCCGGAATCCCTTTAGCGCGGCTGCTCCGTGATGCAACCGCGAGGAGCCACCTTGGAACTGGGCCCTCAAGAGGAAGGGCGCACTACCGGGCACTACCTCCTCCGACCCCGCCGCTTGGCCTCTCGGGCCCCTTCGGGCGTGCTGCCCGCCCCTTCTTACCTTCTGACCCTTCTTCTCTTCTGACCCTTCGGTGTTGGCGGTTCAGAGATGTGTCCGCCGAGCTCTTTTCTCCTTTGCAAACTTCTCTCCCAGGAGGCAGTTCTGGCCTGCTGCTGGCCACACTGATGTCGGTCCGAGTTTGACATCCCTCCCCGACCCCTCCGGGCCTCTGACTCTCAGGTGTCCCACACAGAGCTCCGCTCCCCTGCTCTCGCTCCTGGCACCCCTCCACTCTCCGGTGCCCACACAGTCACACACACTCACAATCGCACTCGCACATAGACCTCCAGTCACCTGACACACCCCACCTGCCCCAGGCCCCAGCTTGATCTCCTTCCCTTTTCCCCTGTCATTACCCCAGGCTGCAAGGATATGTTACTGGTTGTTGCTAAAGGGGGCTGCGGAGGAATGGCTGAGTAAAACATGGGATTTGGTCTTGCTGGCAGTATCACATGCCAAATCCTCGTGGTGAACAGCACACTGATTGTTCAGAGCACACCTCCCCTGCAGGCTTCCCTCAAAAACAATCCTATATGGAAGGTTACAATCTTAACCAATCCTCCAGCAGGAGTATATCACTTAACAAATAAACAAATTATAAGCGAATTATTAATAATACATAAGATCCTAAAATTATACTGTTTGCTAGTTGCAAAGATAAAAAGATTGTAAACACCAAAATTTAACAGCTTTTCTTGTGGGGAAAACTGGAGAGTTTGGGATGACAGATGATCATTATTTTCTTCTCTGTGCTTGGCAGTTTCCACATTTACTACAACTGAGCATGTCTTATTTTAACAATAAAATGTCAAAAGTATTTTAAATGTTAGAAATTTAGAAAGGTAATGCAATCAAGTGTATGCAAATAAATGTTAGTTTTTCTACACATAAAAATAAATGGAAATTCAAGCTTCGAATTTGCCCTAACAATGACAGTAACTAATGTTTGTTAAGTTCTGACACTGTGCTGGGCAATCTTTTAAGAGTTTGATACGAGTCATCTTATTAAATCCTATCATTTCCCCAATGTACATCTAAGGAAAGGGAGATATAGGGCAGTAAGATTATTGCCCAAGATCATAGAGCCAGTGGAATGCAAACCAAGCCACCTGACCCATGAACAATTGCTGCTCATCACTATACTATCTCCTAGATCTGTGATTTAAAGGGCAACTATAGTTTTCTGGGAGTGACCGTAAACACTCTACCAAGCAGAGAACCACTGGTTCCATGAACCTTTGATTGCAAACACCAGAAAGTGGCTTAAGCAAACCTCATGGTTAAACAAAACCTGTTCTGCATCAGTCATTAGCAGCTGGGCGCCTAACTATGGTGCTATTGAATCCTAAGGGTTTACAATTTATGTCTCATACAATCAGTCAGGATTCCCCACAGATATTTCAGTCGACCTACAGTAATTCCACTACATATATGGCGGGTTTAGCAATTATGCAAATAATGGATACCAAAGGCAAGATGGTGTAAACAACAGGATGGGCCTCCCAGCACCGGCACAGCAGCAGCTGGGCCAGGCTCTAAATTCCTCCTTCCAGAAAGAAGCTGCTGCCCAGTTCAGGGCCGGCGGAAAGCCTCAGCCGCCTGGAGGCAGCCAGGGCACTGGGCACCTACCTCTCCATGTGGGCTCCGGGGAGCCCCAGGAAGACTTCCTCAATCCAAACTGATGACCGACTCAGAGCCCCAGAATCCCTGACCCCTAATCCCCCAGTGACCCGGAAATGCTTGATCACAGAAGCAGCGCTTTCACTCTCTGAAGGCCCCCAAAATGCTCGCTTGGCCCACCCTCCTTTTCTTTGGGGGAATGAGATGCAGAAAGGTAAGGACATTCCCAGAAGGTTTTTCCTCACTAGAAAACGGGAAGATATTCTCTTCACCGCTTAAAAACCTCATCAGGGAGGACGCCCATGGTGCGCCAACAGGGGCTTCCCACCACCCACGGCAGGGGTGTCCCAGGAGGCCCTTCCCATCATCCCCCGGGAGGCACTTCCCATCATGCCCCAGGACACACTCCCATCATCCCCAGCGGCAAACTCCAGCAGGTGCGGCCCTTCGGGGAGCCGCAGCAAGGGCCAGGTGGCAGGCTCTTCCGTGAGTGAAGGTGCGCACAGTTCCTCTGCGCTTCATTTCCCCAGTAAGACATTACCTTCTTGTCCTTCTTAGTTTCAAATGGAGAGAATCATCTCTACCCTTCCCACCCCTAAAATAAAAAAGAAGAAGAAGAACCGGTCCCAGGCTGGCCATGTTCGCCCCTGCAGAGGGGCTGCTGAGGGTGCTTCTGCCGCGGTGAGATTAACCCAAGGCCAGGAAGACTCCTTGAAGCCACCCTGGGGCTGGCATCTGACTCTTCAGCAACCTGTGGGCCCACCTCCCTGCTGGAGGCAGCCAGTGGGCCTGGCAGTTGCCATGGCGACCGACTGAGCTCTCCAGGACAACGTGGAGAAAGGGCCTTAAGAACTAAGGGGGTTCAGTAAAATGCAAAGAGATTTTTTTTTTTTTAAGTTTGTAGCCACTGCTTGGATAAAAATCAGGGACTTTTAACAAAATGAGTTCAAGCCTATCCTAAGTATAGCAATATGAGATTATTTATGAAAATAATTGTACTCTTGTGAGTTTAGCAATTTTATATATTATATCTATTAGGATATATGGATATTTTTAAAAAACATATCTATGGATAGAATTGAAAACTTCTTTTTAAAAAACAGGTTTTGCAGTATCACATATTGGCAGACTCAGGGTTGGAGTCCTGGCTCCATTTACTTCTTTCTGAGGTCAGTTATCTCGTCTGTAAAATGGGGATAATGGTATAAGCCCCCTTAGGGCTATTGTGAGGTCAAAACGAGATATTTATAGTGAGAGTAGCACAGTGCCTTGCACACTGCAAAGTGCTTAGTAAATGTTAGCTGCTATTATTAATTATACTGTTGTTGCTCTTACAGGCTAAGCGCCTTTTGTCTCTCAATAGGTCTTTGAGGAAGATTTAACCCGTTTATCTTAATTCATTTTCAATCGTGTTTTTTTCTTGAAGAGGATCAAGCTGCCAGAGATGAGTCAGCGAAGTAATTGTGACAATCTGAAGTTAGTCTGTGATGAACAGATTACCTGTAATGCTCCTTCTTTTGCACTAGTATACATAAGAGTGAGGGGAGACTGAAGCTTCTAGAAATGTATAGAAGTAGATTCTTAAGTGGAAGTAGATATTTCAACTATTTGAGAATTATCTCTTATAAAATTGGCAGCCAACAAGGAGGAAATTACCAGATACACACACACCCCTGCCCCTGCCTGGGGTATGCAGTTTAATGGAAGGATACTGAAACACAGTGGTCGAGAGAGAGAGGTAAATTATTTTCCAGCCAGGAAGTAGGATTATTCAGTAATGTATCACAACCAGCAGGGCAAATGGTTTCGTGGAAGTCAGCCAATGTGGAAATGAGTTGTCATAAAACGGGGCAGACTTGAATTTCATGTTGGGCAGCGACTCAAGGACTACCACATGGCACAGTGGCTGGCACACAGTAAGTGCTCCATCAAAACAGAATATCAAACCGAATATTAGATATTGTTTTGAAACAAAGCTGTGCTTTATGCAGAAATAAAGAAACAAACAATAAAATATATCACTTTTTTTCCTTCAATTTTTTATGCCTCTTAAATCAGACTCCATCTTTCAGGCTCTCTCAGTCTATCAGTGGCTTAAGTATATCTGTGTCTGCTGGGTCATATACTAGGGGATAATGAGGAAATGAAAAATAAGTTGCCCATTTGAGGGCAAATTCTACATTAATCCATACTGTTAAAGAAATTACCAAAACTATGATGCCTTCTGACTACATGTTCATCCTTCCTTCTAAAATGCATGTCACTCTTCCCTACTGGTGAATGTGGAAAGTTCTAGTTCTGATACTGCAGATAACCTCACTCTGGCCAGCAGTGGTGGTAGGAGGTCCCGTGGTTTGTGAAGCTGCACCCTCCAGACCCTGAGGATGGATCAGGTTCTCTGAGAAAGGGGCAGAGAAAGAGGTAGCAACTGAGCAACATGTCCCCCATTTTCCCAGAACAAAGCTCACCCTGTCCAACTGACAAGAAGGTCATGAGAATGTGGAACTGTCAGATGCTATAAAAATGTGATGTGAATATTTAGCTCTGGTTTTTAAGTCTTTTAATTATATAATGTTAATATATTACAACATATATTATTAACTTATATATAACATGTATAATAATTATATATGTTTGATGCATACTAAAGAATATGTGCTCACATAGCCTGCAGTGGGGCAAAGTAATGCGATGAACACCTGTGAACCACTGCTCCAAATAAGTGGATGAATGAATGAATACAACTACTATGAACATCTGAGTGCATAGATCTTTGTCCACATCCCAAATTCAACTGTATGTAATTCAGCTTTATAGAACTGAGATGTACTGGGACAGTGGGGAAGAAAATTAAGACCCTAAATACATATTATTGCATTGCCTCCTAGAATGGCCATGCCCATCGTACTCTCACCAGCACAGAGTATGTGACTCGTTGCTCCCTCACCCACTGTAAGTCATTTTTCTTCTTTACTAATCTGATGGGCAAAGCAGCATTTCATAGTGGCTTTAGTTTGTGTTTCCGTGGTTATTTGTAAGGATAAGTATTTTTTCCTCAAACACTTATTTTTCAGCTATGGCAACTATTGTTAATTATTTAGATTATTTTTCTATAAGATACTCTCATATATCTATATATGTTGTTCTTTCTCTACCTGTGAACAATTCTTGAACTTTAATACCTTACTCAGATGTAACATTCCCAGCGATGCCTTCTATAGCTGTTTCCAGCCTCCTCTTACCATCTCCCTGGTTGTGCTTCTATTCTCCCTACACGATTGTGACTGTGTTTCCAGGTCAGCTTCCCTAAGTGCTTTCAGGACCTCCACCCCACAGTCTAGCACAGAGCCTGACACATAACAGATGCTCAAATTATTAAATATTACTGAATACCCTTAGAAAACTGGGAATACTGTAAAGTGTAATGAGGACAGTAAAGATGTCCAATAATCTCACTTCCCAGAGACAGCCATTACTAACATTTTCCTTTTTTTTTTTCCCCTTATTTTCTTTCTTTCTCACTTTTTTTTGAGACAGGGTCTCACTCTGTTGCCCAGGCTGGAGTGCAGTGGCATCATTCATAGCTCACTGCAACCTCAACCTCAACTCCTGGGCTCAAGCTAATCTTGTTGTCTCAGCCTCCCAAGTAGCTGGGACTTCAGGCATGTGCCACCACACTCAGCTGATTTTTCAATTTTTTGTACAGACAGGGTCTCACTATGTTGCCCAGGCTGGTCTTGAACTACTGCCCTCAAGGGATCCTCCTGCCTTCACCTCCCAGACTGTCAGGATTATAGGCATGAGCCACCAATCCTGGCCCATTACTGGTGTTTTGGTGTGAATACTTCCAGGCTTTTTAAATGCATACATATTTTTACTTCATTGGAATCATCCCATTTATCACTTACCATTATCACATATCTTTATGTAGTGAACATGTCTAAATTTTTTCAAAAGTATAAAAGACAATAGTATTTCACCTTGAGGATATACCAAAATTATTATGACTCAGTGTTGGATAAAAGAATGGATGAATATGTTTAACATAAATTTAAAGAAAGTAGGGTGTATTACTTAAGGAAATGATACTCCATTTTGCTTTTAAGAAAATGTTTCAGGGCTGGGCGCAGTGGGAGGCCGAGGTGGGTGGATTGCTCAAGGTCAGGAGTTCAAAACCAGCCTGAGCAAGAGCAAGACCCCATCTCTACTATAAATAGAAAGAAATTAATTGGCCAACTAATATATATAGAAAAAAAAATTAGCCGGGCATGGTGGTGCATGCCTGTAGTCCCAGCTACTCGGGAGGCTGAGGCAGTAGGATTGCTTGAGCCCAGGGGTTTGAGGTTGCTGTGAGCTAGGCTGACGCCACAGCACTCATTCTAGCCTGCGCAACAAAGTGAGACTCTGTTTCCAAAAAAAACAAAAAAAGAAAGAAAGAAAGAAAATGTTTCAGGTGTTGTTTCTTAGTATCTCATTCATACTTCTTAAGTGACTACCAAACGTATTCCCTCAGCTCTGGGTGCTGTCGCTGTCCTCTTCTTGTGGCACCAGCATACCTGCTTGTTTGAATTGTCTTTCTCTTCCCATTTTTAATGATCTATTTAGTAGTTGCTAGAACAACCTCAAAGCAGTTGTGGATCAAATATAGTGTCAGAAGAGCTGAACGAATCATTTCCCCCTCCCTCTACAAAGAGGAGAGCCAGGAAGGTTTTAACCACTTCGGTACGAGCATCGACTATAGTCGATAGCCATAGATGAACATGCACAGCCGAGCGTCGGCTTTAGCCAACAGCCATGATGTGACTTTTCTAATTTTTCATTTATCAAAATAAAATTGTGAACATTTAAACATAACGTATTGAAACATACATGTATATGTTACCTATTCTGATTTACATTACAAGTAAAGCTGCCTGTAAAGTAAAACAAGCTTTCAGTGCTTTAAATCTTTCCTCATCACACAAGAGCAAAACAGACTCATCGTCAATGCACAGCATAAACTATCGTGCGGACTGAGTGCCTGCTGTGGGCAAGGTTTTGCAGCCGGTGAGCGCCATACCAAAGTGGTTAAACTGGGCTGGTGGTTTTCCGTTCCCTAGAACTGGCTTTGCACCATCACTGATTCTGCATTGAAAAGAGTACCAGGCTGGGATCCACTTTGGGCCATGCTGGGCCCCTGACAACCATGTCCTGGAACTATTGGAACAAGCTCAGTGCTGCTGATCTATGACACTAGGGACAGAGTCTCATGGCAGAGACCCTAAATGAGTTTCCCCACTGAACAAGACTGGAAATGTATAATAGAAATATGCGTTACTAAATGAGACAAGCAAAGATTATTTCATTTAGAATGTGATTTGCCAATGTTTTCCTTTGATTACTTGTTCCCTCGGTATGTGGGAAATATTATGACTTTCTTTTTAGCAATTCTGTGTATTAACACATTTAAAGAGGGTCCTCACAGAAGGGCTCCAGGCTTTAGAGTGGCTAGAAATGGGGGAGCTGGCCTGGTCATCTTGACCATGGACTCAGTTCCAAGGATACGTTGGAGGAGAGAAGCCTAGGGGTTATGTCTTAGGAAAACTCTCTGGAGTAGAGAAGTGGTTGGGCTTTACTTAGGTTGTTTTCTTCTCCTTAATCCTGAACACCTATTCAAGCTAAATGGCAGAAACTGGACATCAAGGTATGTGTCTAGTTCCAGAGACTTCTCTGTGACTTTCCCAGGATCCCAAAATATTTATAGTAAGTTTGGAATAAAAATTTGAGCCTGTATCTTCATATTCCAGATCTTATGCCTTGTTTTGTTGTTGTTGTTCTTTGCTAGGCCAGTATTCACTGTGGAATCTTAACTAGATGGTCAAAAATATGAGCATGAGTGATATTAAAGAAAAAAATACCATATTCAAGAAATTGCATTTATTACTGAGTTACAGAAGTCTATTTTTAGAAAGTATTTCAAGTATAAGGGTTAAAAACAAGGTCTCAGCTATAGAAGTTAAAGCTGTAAGTGAACGGGAAAGGCATAGCTGCCTGTAGGAACCCAGGGCTCCTGCCTCCTGACAGCCACAGCGAGGGCCAAGGCCTTCGGGGCAGGCTGTGCGGGGACTGGCGTCATCAGCTGTCCCCCCTGGGAGTGAGGGAGGAGCCTCTCCATCCAAAGCCACCATCTCTCCCTGACTCTGCCTTGGGTGGGAATGGATGGGCAACCCTGGTGAGACCACTCAGTTTCGGTGTAAAAGATAGTTGTAATTCCATTCTCCCACCAGGCTATTGCACACTGTTTAAAATAGTGCCCTCTCTTTATAAATTGTCAAATACAGGCCCAGAGGTAACTTTAAAGTGTAACCAACCACACTTTGATTTCAGCCACATATTTTACCAAACCAGGACTGCACTGAAAAGTGTTGAGTCTTTTTGAAAACTGCATAAAATTTTTCCAACTTAACACATTTATCTGCACTAGCTCAGCTGCAGGAATGACTGCTTAGTCGATGAGTCCAATTTCCAATTTCCGTGAACCTGACTTCACACTACCTATAGGCTTAAAATCAAGAGGAATTTATAACAGATGGGCCCAGGCAAGAAGTTAGCCCCAGAGTGGAGCTTGATTGTGGAGGAACACTTCACTGAAGGAAATATAAGTCTCTGAATTCAGTTCAAGGCTTTATACAAGCCCCACTTCAGTTAGAATCCAATCACTCCCTAAAGACACTTGAGTACTCTCTCAGTCACTGCTTCACTTACCACACACAGAAGAAAAACAAGAAAGAGACTCTACTAGGAAACATTGCCAAGGAGTCTTAGAAACAGGAACATCTGTCAACCTATCATATACAGATAGTTTAAGGGGGGCTGCACTTGTAATTGGGCAGTTGCCTCTTCTTTATTTCAGGACACTTGCAAAACTCCTCTCCCCAAAATATGTCCCTAATTGAGGTATCACAGTGTCTAAAATTCTACCACCAAAAAGTCATTACCTAAATTAAGCACAGCCCTCTCTCTTATTTATATTGTTTCTTTATTTTATTTAAAAATACATCCCTATAGTTTTAAACTCAGATGTTACTAAAAGGTATATGATGACAAACCGCTGGGCCTGGTGTCATCTCTCCAACTCCTCTCATTCCCCAGCCAATTTCTATTTTCACCCTTTCCTCTGGAAGTTCCATATGCTAGATTTAGAAAAATATTCTGAGTATACAATGATTTTCATGTCCAATTTTAGACTACTTCTATGGACCTCTTGTTTTAAAGATAGGATCTAGTGCTCTTATATCCCTGCCACTTCCCCTGACCCAGTGGGACCAACAGATGTAGCCCACTCCACATGACTCTTTTGACGGTTCATGGCCACTGCCTACTCCTTCTGATCGAGAAGGACAGTGCTTTGGGGTAAACAGAGCTTTCATACATGAATCAACTAGGGAGATAATTAAGATTATTGCAACTGACATTGGGCTGGGGGCATTGCCAGTCTCTTCTCCGGGCTCCTTGGGGACTGGGAAGGCCTGCTACTACACACCTAGTCGTGTGTGTGTGTGTGTGTGTGTGTGTGTGTGTGTGTGTGTGTGTGTGTCTGTGGATTGGGCTATGGTTCCACACTGTGTGGACACTTGTCAGTCTTATGACCATAGGCCTAGCACAATGCCTAGAATACACAGCACACTTAATAATGGGAGGCTTTGTCATCTATTCATTATCAGTAACCCTGATAATTGAACATAGATCTTCCCTGCTCACCAGTTAGCATACCATATGGCTAGAATTCTTCCTTTTTGGTCAGTGGAGATAAACATGAGCTTCTTTTCTCCATTTTAAGTAGTCGGGTTCTGATTTTCCCTCTTCTTATCTCTTTAATAATGTTCAATGCTTTTGTGCTTTCTAAGCATGAGGCATTTTCTTGAGCTGTGAAACCCAGTATCCTCAAAGTGCCCTTCAGGGAAACCTGAGTC